TCACAACAGTCCTATGAGGTAGGTATTAATATTATACTCATTTTAGAGAAGAAGGAAACTCATTTGGGGAGGTGAGTGATTTGCCCAACATCACATAGGTAGTAACCCCAAGTCCCTGTTCTTAACCATTATACTATGCCATCTATACCACCCTCTGAGAATATTTTTGTATCTCCACAGGACTTGTCTCCAACCCCTTACTCCAATGTTTTTTTTTCTAAGTGTGACCTCAGGATTTCACCTCCCTCCTTGCTTGTTATCAATGCAGATTCCTGGCCCTGACCTACTTTCTCAGGGTCTTAGAGGTGGGCAGATTCTTAAGACACACTCTGGTTTGAGAATCATTGCCTGAACAAAATGAGCATTAGCAGATTTAATGACTAAATGGAGTCAGTCGCTTCCAGCTCAATTTGAAGACACTGCACTGCCAAGTTAGAATAAATGGAGCACGCATATGTGCAATCGCATCACAGGCTCACAACTCCTGCCTGCCATGGGTCATGGGATGCTGTGGACGCATTGGAGGCTCAGGTCTGTGCCCTCCTTTCCTCCTCTGCCTGTCTCAGTCTCTTCAAACCCTGGTTACTCCTTGCCTGATAATTTACTGCCTCTTGAGTAATGTATACTCCAGATTACTTCAAGGACTCCTTCTAGGAAGCTTTCTTATTTTCAATCCCTTCTATCACCTTCCAATATGATGAATCTGTATTCATCCGTGAGTCGCCGGCAACGGCGTAGGCTGCAGCGGGTGTGAGCTTTCATGAGCTGCCATGAGCTGTCGAGAGCGGCCGTCCAATGGCCAGCGAGCGACTGCCTCACCCGGGAAGAGTGCAATGATAATACCAACATGGGCCAGTGAAGCGACGTCCTCCACAACTAGACTGAAGAACAACAACAAAAAAGGACAGCAACTTGTCTGTTCCCCTTCCCCAATTCCCCAACGCTGTTCCCCTCCCCCAATTCCCAAATAAAAAATCTGTAAAAAAAAAAAAAAAAAGATTGCCAGTCACAACCAAAGAGGCCAACACGGTCTTCCAGGCAGAGCTCAAGACCCCTTCCTCTCATCTGAGATCAGCTAGGGAGTGAGTTCCGTGAATTTCCCAATAGGCAGGGACTACTCTATGCCCCTGCCAAGCAGGGAGCAGATACAAAAGAGAAGACCTCCTGTCCTTCAACTTTCCATATAGATTTTATGGGGATCACATCTCTCAAGGGGAAAACAAGGCAGGCAGTTAGAGGCAAGCATTGGGTCTCTGCATTCCTGAACATCCCACAGAGTGCGACCGCCAAAGGGACATCCTCTATACACCTAAAACTCCCCTTTGTATTATAATTATCTACCCCTGTGGGAAAACAAATGGGCACAAAATACCCAACTAGATCAGACCAGGCACTCGCACCTGCGCAGTACCTCTTGTCAATCACAGGTGCCAATCAAGTGGTCCCACGCCCATAGGGGAACAGCCCGTTCTAGAGAAAGGGAATAAAAACTCCAAGTCCTGGGTAGTCTGCTCTGCTCTTTTTAACTGTTTCTTCCCTTTTTGAACCCCTTCCTCCCGTTTTTGGGCCTTTTGAGCCTCGCCTTTGCGTGTGGCCGGCTCCAAACTCTTTGGAATGTAGTTTCTAATAATGGTCCCTTGAGCCATTCTCTACTGCTCGGGCCTGCTTCTACTTCTTTGAAATGTACTATCTCTTTTAATAAACTACTTTTTACTCCAGTACCTTGTTCAATTCTTTGCTTGAGTTGCCAAGGACCTGGACTTTGCGCCAAGAAAGGCCCACTCTCCGACAACAATTCCACTTATAGGAGATAGTCAAAATCATAGAAAATTAGAATGGTGGTTGTTGCCAGGAGCTAGGCGGAGGTTGGGGAATGGGGCGTTATTGTTTAATGAGGATAGAGTTTTAGTTTTACAAGATGAAAAAAGAGTTATGCAGATGGATGGTAATGATGTTTGCTTAACATTGTGAATGTATTTAATATCACTGAATGGAATACTTAAAAATGGTTACAATGGTAAATTTAAGTTATGTGTACTTCACTTCAATAAAAATAATTGGAAAAAAACATAATAGCTAACATGCTCATAGAATGTTTACCATGCAGCAGGCATCGTTCTAAACGCTCTACATGAAAGAACTCATTTATATATATATATGTATATAGTGATATATATATATCACTAATCATTTACTGAGCACTTACTATTGCTCACAACAACCCAGTGAAACAAGTGCTATTATATACCTGTTTTACAGACACTGGGGCTGGGCAAGATTAATAATTTGCTCAAGGTCACGCAGCAGAAAAATATAGAGCCAGACTTAGAACTGAGATCTGCTGGGTGTGAGAGACCACGTAACCATACTGCTTTCTACAAGTTTAAAGGTGATCCGTTACTTCCTGGGCACCTACTGAACCCCTTGCACTAAGTCTCATTGTTTAATAACTCACCTGATTAGAAACTTTAAGAACATATTTATATTTCCTCAGCAAAACAATGGTAACATTAATACAGTTGATCCCTTTGGCAGCAGTTCTAAATAAAGACATTAACAAGAGCTGCCCACTGGGCTTAAAGTAGAAATGCCCACACCCCAACGGAACTTCAGCTGACACATTTAGATATCTCTCCTTCACCCCTCCCCAGTCGCCCAGTCATCAATCATCTCCCAACTGGTTATCTTATCCTTAGAAACCTCTCTTTCGCTCCCTCCTATCACCTTCCAGATCAACAAAGTCATCCCCACCCCTCTCTTTTCCTTCTAAAGTGAATATTCTGCAATATCCTGACCCCAAAAGCACTTTAGACAAACTCAGCACATCTAAAATAGCTCAACCTCTCTCAGTACCCCCAAAATAGCTGTCAATAGAGGCAGGAGTTAAGTACAAGCTTTAACCTTTTATTGTCTGGCAGAGGATGATGTTTCTTTTCTACACCAAGCATGGCTTCTCCCCTGTCCCTGGTTGTCTACATCCACATCCTTAAGTTGGGCGTGTAGTCCCTTCATGAACTATTCAGAGGCTAACTTAATTTGTAGAAATTGTTCTATGAAATCCTGGAATAAACTCCGGGCTATTTTTAGATAAAGATAGAGGTAGGAGTCTGTAGAAATGAGCTAGGAAGGAGCTTGAAATACTTCACATTCCAGAAACACCCTCCCTTCCCCCTGGGAGATGGCTTTATTCCCACTTTCTCAGCAGAGTTGGACTCAAAGGAGCTGAAGCTTGGAGTCAGGCAGCTGGTACTAGCTGTGTGGGCTTAGATAAATGACTTCAATGTGTCTGAGCTTCAGTTTGCTTATCTGTGAAATGGGGTGACACCACCCTTTTCTCTAGATTATTGTTAGAATTAAGATATATAAAACAACTAGCGTTAGTTAGTGCCTGTAGCTAGGAGTCCCTACTATCTTATGGAGGGTCCAGTGCTTTCATGGTCTAGTAAAGGGAGAGAAGTCCTATAAATTAGTCTCTTGACAAATGTCCTCAAAAAAGGATTGGGGCAGGGACAATAACTAAAAGGGAAATGAAGTTTTAAGAAAAGAGTCCCAGTAATCCAAGTTTGTTTTTATCAAACAGCTACTTATGGACTGGGTTTGGTGGTCTAGGAACAGTGGGGGTAGAGTGGAAGGTTTACCTGACAGGAGGCTGGATTTGGGATTCTGTTCTTGTGTGACCTTGACCAAGAAACCTCTCTGGGCTCCAGTACCGTGTGGCAGACATTGCTTACTTACCAGGTTGTGAGGAGGGTCAGTTGGTAAATGTGAGGAATTTATAGTAGCTTTTTTATTCTACTCAGTCTCCATAGGAGTGCAGGCAGGCAATACCAACACAGGTCCCAGCCATGAGGCAGGAGTAGCTGACGCAAAGTGGCCTTCTTGGATTAAGAGTTGGTTTAAGAGGGCGAGCTCTGAGCAACAGGGCCGCCAGTTCGATTCCCACATGGGCCAGTAATTCTGCACCCAAGCTGAGCTGTCGCTGAGCTGCCAACAAGGTGGCTGGATGGCTCAGCTGATGAGAGCATGTGCTCCTAACAACAAGATTGCCTGTGCGATGGTGGGCTATGCCCACCCTCAACTAAGACTGAACTCAGCACTTTGAGCTGAGCTGCTGCCCAGATGGTTCAGTGGAGAGAGCGTGCGCTCTTAACAACAAGGCTACTGGTTCGACTCCCGCTAGGGATGGTGGCTACGCCCACTCGCAACTAAGATTGTAACACAGCACCGTGAGCTTAGAGGCCACGAGCTGCCAACAGGAAGCCAAATGGCGACTGGCTCCCTCCACAACTAAGACTGAAGAGCAACTTGGCTGGTCCCCTTTCCCAATTCCCCAACACTGTTCCCCCTCCCCTAATTCCCCAATAAAACCTTAAAAAAAAAAAACGTGGCCTTCTCCCACCATGATGCTCATGGCCTTGCTGAACAGCAACCGTTTTCCTTTCAGTCCCAGAAGTGGTCTCTTTGGGGCAAGACTAACCCTCTCAGCCCACAAATGTCATGGAACTGGGCTGGTCATGGAACATTTGCGCCACTTCATCCCAATAAGTGGCAGGTACAATGGCCCCAAGGAGAGACAGTTCCAAGAAGTGGTTAAATGATGGAATTCCATGTTTTCCTCTTCCATACACCCCATGCTAACAAAACAAGCTGATTATTACTATACAGTAGGTTAAGACTTCTGGCTGCAGAAATAGGCAGAGCTGGTTTCAAATCCCAGCTCATTCACTTACTAGCTGTGTAACTTTGGGCAGTTTTGTTTCACTCTTAGAACCTCAGTTTCCTCTTCTGTAGCCCTGGCACGTGATTGGTGTGGCTTAATATGGAGAAGCGAGCATAGACATAAGCAGTGCTCTATCAGGAAGAGCTATTGTTATAGTCTCCCCTCTTGCATTTATAGTCTCCCCTCTTGCATTTATAGCAAGTTTATGTGAACTATGTGAGGGAAAGGAAGCCTTCATTTTCTTTCATTAATCCATGGAGAAAGAAAAAACAAAATCACATTACATCACAAATTTTCAGAGATGTTTTAAAAAGACATCCTCCAAAAGGTCATCATACCACTAAGGTAAGAACAGTACCATCCTAAAGAATATACTATGCGTAAGACCTTATAGTTTAGAAAGTGGCTTATCATCTACTACTTCATTTAATACCTGCCAAACCCTTGTGAAGTAGCATTTATCCCCATTTTACAGATAAGGAAACCAGGACTTAGACAGGTAAAGCTAAAAGGCACAGAACAAATAAGTGGTGGAACTAGGATTTCAAGCCTCCTAATGTACACATTTAGCACTCTTTGTAATTCATAAGAGAATTTCATGTTCACCAAGTTCCAGGCCTACACTGTTTAGACATGTCTGAAATGGCATTTCAGGAACCCAAAGTGGAATGACCAGGTTAGCAACGTGGTTAGAGAAATACAACTCTTTGGCTCCCTTTGGCTACACTGAAATAGTCGTCCTTGGTTCAAGGACTCGGTTGGCATAAACTGCCCCCGCTGTGACATGTTTGAGAAATCTTTTATTAGAAGATGTCCCGGAAGGCAACATTTTTAAATCAGGTGATCAATAATCACAACTAAATACAAAATTTCAGGTAAACTTGCCTTTCAAAATAAATTCGACTCTTGCAACAGGAGAATTGCCCAGGAGTTTTTTTTCTTGTACAAAAACACCACCACTTTGCAAAAGGCATACAAAAATACAGTATCAAAAAAAAAGAAAAAAAAAAAAAAGACTGCACCCAGCATAGTACCCAACAGCAGCTTATAAAACACAAGCTATTCAGGTGAGACATCAATAACCTACATCCCACCTGTTCTCCAAACAGTTCCAGAAGTCAGTTGGCTCCTGAAAACCATGCTCCAAAACATAGAAAGGCTTTTCTCAAACTTCCATGGGGGTTCTCTGAGGCCAGAAAATAACCTCAGAAACAGACCATCATGCATAATAGGTTTGGAAGTAGCAGCTGGCTTTCCAGAGCCACATATAGTGCTCTACCATCCTCCCCTCCCCCACTTTCAAACCCACAGCCAGCAGGCACCTGCTGCCTCGGGCAGGGTTCTGGAGGGGCTGGTCCTTCTTCCAGGCTAGGCTTAGGGACTTCTGAAGTTGCCCACAAGACACCTGTAGGGTTGCGTGCCTTTCCCAGAGTAGAGACTCCACCTGGAATCCATTCGGAGGTGGCAAGTCTAGATGGGCCAAAATCCATCATGGTCCACTAAGCAGAACTCCTGAAAACTCCTTTAAAACCCACCAATAAACTAGGCCACCTTCTGGAGCACTGGATGAGTCCCAGACGCTCTCCCAGTAAGAACTTCAGTAAGGCCCAGATTCTGGGAAAGGGGTCTGACTCATGTGAGGCTGGCAGGGGGCCCAAGGCGGGTGGCTACAGTGCCAGCAAGCTTCTTGGAGTTGCACAAGAAGGACAGGTTTGCATGGTTCTAGTAGAACTTCAAACTTATCAGTAAGGGATTGAGATGACAGGGGGTGGGAAAGAGGAAATGGTACAGTTCTCACTCCTGAAGTGCCTGACATCTGCTTTGATAAACGGCTCCAAGATGGAAAATACCTGGGCAGGGAACAAGTTCATGGCCAAGACACCAAGCCTTCCCCAGGCTGCAGGCGAGGACCCATTTCCCTGTGTCTGGGGGAAATATTCTGACCTGTGGGAAAGGGGTGCTTGTAGAGCCCATTGCTTAACAAAAGCAGAAGGAAACAAAAAAGTCCCTTGTGAGGACAGAATGCTCTCTCCCTCAGAGGAAAGGGCCCAGAGGGCTTTGAGACAAAGAATGTAGAGGCCAAGCTCTTTAAATGTTCTCAAGGCCAGCAGCATTGAGAGTGGGAGGAGGGGTGTCATCTAACATCATTATACATACATATATATATATATATATATATATATATATATATATATATTAAAGGTTTCCAACTCCTCAGCTACTGTAAAGTGTCTGACAGTGAGGTAATGGTCCATGTTGATCAAGTCTGCAAGCTTGTCTTCACCCAAGACAGCTCGTGTGTCTCCTGGAAAAAGGAGCCTCAGGGAGAGCGTCCAGACCCAGCTGTCCTAGCATCACCCCAGAGACACCAGTGGGAGCATCCTTTCCCAGCCTGAAGCTCATCCGGAGTGTGAGATTTCATGCAGGCTGGAGCCCCCGACAACGTCCACCACCTGTTGCATAGCATCTGTCAGGCTTTTCTTCAGAGCTAGTGAGCTAGGCAGACCCCAAGGCTCCGCAGTCAGCTGCCTGCCTGAGAAGCCAAAGGTGCCAGAGAAGACACAGCGCTCCCATGAGTCAGGGAAGAGAGAGAGCTGGGTTTCCAGGTTTCCAAGAATGCAAGCCCTTATTGTGTGTGCATCAGCTACAAAGCATTCTGGGATCTACTGTCCAGGCTATCTCACCGTAACCAAGATGTGCAAATTACTAAAGGGGAGAGAGGGAAGGTTAAAAAATAAACTCGGGTCTTTGTAAGACGGAGCAGTCAGGTTTTTTGGTCAGTTAGTAGCCACTGAGGTACGCAATTCTTTTCTGCAGTTGCTGCTGCCGGCATCGAAGCTGCCTTTTCTCCGTAGCCATCCTCTTCTCAGCCCCCACCAAGGCTTGCAAGTATTCCAAGGCCTTGCTCAGGATCACCACTTTGGGGGCCTTGGAGCAGCTGGCCAGGGTGGGCACCTGGTCCCTCAGGGCCAAGAACCTCGAACGAAGGTCATTTCGCCTTTTGCGCTCCAGGAAGTTGTGGTTCTTCCTCTTCGTCACATCCTCAGTGTCAGAACTGACAGGTTTGAGGTGGCAGGACTGGGGAGCCTCGCTTTCTATAGGCAGGGGGCTCACAACCTCTTCATCTGCCTCGTCTTCCTTCTCCTCTGGTGCATCTGTGTCTAGAGCCTCTTCCTGGGGACTTCTCTCTGGAGCCGCTCCTTGGGAACAGCTTTCTGGAGGAAAACGGGCGGCATAGTTATGCTGTTGCTGATGGATGGAGATGTGGAAGTGTTTCATGCAGGGGTCCAAAGGGTCTGCTCTCACTGTGATGGTGACCGGCTTCCGTACCCCCAGGGACTGTCTCTTCTCCACTGTCACAACGTCGATTTCTTCACCCTCTGTCCAAGTAGAGAGATGAAGAGAAGAAACACACCCCATGAGAGATATACAAAGACCCTATGCTGGGGCTTGGGAAAGGAGGTGACATTTCCCCAATTTAGATAGAAACAAATTGAACTGAGGAGAAAGGCAGCTGATTCATTTGTAATGGGGTTAGGGCAGTGTGAAGGGGAAGTAAGCAAGAAGGAAAATATTCTCCCATTTCCTTTTGCACAGCAAGGCTTAGATAAGAACAAAAGGCAGACCCAAGCCAACAGCCCCCAGTGTGCACAGGCTCTCCCTTCCCCCACTGAGGGGATGGAGAAAAAGAGCCATCGGCCTGGGACAAAGTTTAGCTATAAAGATCTTCCCTAGTCGGGCTCTTTCATGCCCCATCAGAATTGTAAATGAGGGGTCTGTGGGCAGAGCTGCCCTTTGTTCCTGCCCAGCACAGCCTGCACTTGGGGAATTGTTACTTTTCACAAGTTATAAATCCTATTATTCCCCCACCTCTCTATTCTGCCATCCCTTTCAGCTGAAGGTTCAGAGAAGGGAGGGCTACAACCCATCCCTCCTCACCCACTGAGGGGAGGGAAAGTTTTCCCTTAGGGGCATTTTGCTCTTGGGTTCAATGGGTTTCTAAAGTCATCCATCATTTATAGGTCGCCCACCCCACCCCCTTCCCTGGACCAGAAGAGGGTTGGATTTATAATCCCAGGTCGGCAAAAGCTGCAGGAACTTCACAAAGGTACAAGCAACCATTTCCGAGCTACCTGTGCCAGGGTCAGGAACTGATCAGCAGCAGAATGTCTCCATACAAGGGCCGAAACACCAGGGACCTGTAGACACCTGGACATGTCCCCATCATTCCCTGACTTGAAGGTCTCTTAGGTTACCCCAGCCAGGAGAGAAGCAATTAAGGAAAAACCTTCCTGCTCCACACGTTTTGCAGTCCCTCACATAAAAGGCCACTTCAATGCAGTTCAGCCTAACAACACAAGGGCTCAGTTCTCTGCCTCTTTTGCATATCAGGATGCTTGAGCCCCTTTGTCAGGAAGGCTTCCATTGTGTGGACAATCGCATTATTTCTCCATTAATAAAACCTGACCATTCAGCCCTCCTGGCCCCAAGGCCTGTGATTGGCTGGCTAAGCTGTGTTTGGAATGCTGTTTTACCCAGCCCCTAGCCCGTATTGGCTGAGCTTTGCCGTCAGTCACTCTCCCCACCCCCCTCATTGTTTGCAATCTGTTGCATTTTGTTCTGAGCCATGTGGCCTGTGAGTGAACCAGGAGCTTGCAAACAGGTTCAGGTTAAAGGGCAGGTCAGAAAATGATTCAAGGAGGCTTCCCCACATCCCAAACCTTTAATATTTCAGTGTTACACCTCATGGCTGGGGAAGGCTCTGCCTAAGGAAGAAATAATAAGACACCATTCTCCTTTTCACAGGGGAGTGTCTAACTCTACCCAGACAAGGAAATGTCCTCAGCTGGACAATTAAAGCCAACCCCCTCATGTGCCAAGGGAGAAACAGACCCAGATCAGCCAAGTCTACACATCACTTTGTAATGTTCTGGATCTCAAACTAAGATCGCCAAACTCCCAAAACAGTGCTCTTCCCACTCTACTACTCCATCAGCCTTTGTAGAGACATATCTTTATTGGTTTCTTGATCTCAAAATTCCCATTCCAACCATTAAACAAACAAGCACTTGTAGAAAGCAAGCAGGTTAAAAATGACCTTAACACAGTGGACTGAAAAAATTGACTTTTAATTTTTCTTGTTATCCTTATTTTCCCCAAAGTATATGACAACTTCCATACCCCATTCCTCCATTCCCTCTAAATGGTGGTCATGTAAGTTATTCTTAAAAGCAACAGTGAGTTTTCTCTGTCCTGATTTCCCTGATGCTAAGACTCAGTCTGCACCCTATAAAAGTACCCTCTCCAGTATGTCTCATGGGAACAGAGGTGTAAGAGGTTAGGCTAAGAACAACGTAGTCTGGTGGCACAAGATGCTGAAGTCTGCCTCTGCCCTCAGTGAGGTTTACACTTGCATTCAAGGGTTGGGGAAGGGGCCTGGAGCTCCATATCTGTGACCCCGGCACTTAGCCCACTCTGGCACAAAGTAGGGGCCAGTTAACATTTGTTGAATGCAAGGAGGCAGCTGATGCTCTCAGGTAGACTGGGAGGAAGTTCAAGGGACACATTTCAGCCTTAGACCAAAACAACAAGGCAAGGTGTAGCCTTCTCAGGTAAACTATTAATACCATAAAGACCCTCTAGACATCAGGGAAGAAGTGCCCGGTTTTGATGGAGGGTTGGGCTAAAGAGGCTGTTATTGGGTTGTCGGAAAAGTCATGACATTTTTTCTGTTTTTCGTTGCAAAAATGTGTCATGACTTTTCCAACAACCCAATAGATGGGAGGAAGCTGGGGGTTCACTTCTAATGATTTCCTATTTCTAAGCCTCAGTTCTTCCATCTGTTAATGGGGAGCGTTCATTCCTCCCCTAGCTGTCTCATGGGTAATGGTGTGGACGCACAAATGGTAAGGGGTGGGAACATTTTAGAGTAAAGCAGACAGGAGACCAGGTTTTTAAAAGGATGAAGGCTTTGCACAAAAAGGCTCCTCAGCTTCTTCTCCCTAGGGGAGTGTGAGTTTCCCAGGGAAAGAGGCAGCAACAAAAAACTTCAAGCCTGGTGTGACCCTTATGGGACCCCTTCCGGCCTCCGGAGGACAGAAATCCCCTACAGTCCAATCCCAGTATTGTCCTCCCTAAGCGCCAAGCCTCACCCAGTCTCCCTTGTCCCCTGGGGCTCCAATCATCATCAAAGGAACGTTGGCTCCCACGCCACTTCTTCAAACTGTTTACTAACACACCCACGTGCCAGACAGACACCGCTGGGGGCTACACCGGCAGCTTCAGCCAGAGAAAGGGGGAGGTGGCCGAAGGGCTTGCGAAGACCCAGTACCTCATCTCAGACAGCGAGTGGCAGTTTTGGCCACCCATGGGGTGCCCCCCTCTTGAATTGCCCGGGGCGATCCTTACCCGAGTCGCTAGGGCTCTCGGACCCCGAGCAGGCCTGGGTCTTGGGCTCGCCCAGCGGACAGGGGGCAGCGGGCGCAGGGTTACCGGCTTCCAGGCTGGGAGCGCAGTCCGGGGCGGCGGGCACCTTGGGTGGGTTCCCCCGGGGCGCTCCAGTGGCGAGCCGGTCGCTCACCGCTCTCTCCAGCCGTTCCCGGGCCGAGAAGCCGCTCCACATGCAGTCACGGCGGATGATGGAGGCGTAGTTTCTGCCCCAACCTTTCGAGTGGCCCCGGGATTCTGCCTCGTCCCCGGCGCCCCCTCCGGGCCACGGCTCCAGGGGGCCAACTCCAGGGGCCGGGTCCCCGGCGTCGGGACCCGAGCCCCAAGGCGGCGATGTGGGGGGTGACTGCACCAGCTCGAATTTCTTCCAGATGTCCTCGCTGGGCGCGGTGGAGCGGTAGAAATCCTCCCCACAGTCATAGTCGTAGAAATAGTGCTGGTACGAGTCGAAGTCCATGTCCGTTCCCTGCGAGAGGTAAGGGGGACGTGCTGACTGAGGTACGGGCCCAGGGAAGGAGGCGTCCCCGGTCCCCTTAGCACAGCCAGTTGCCAGGCTCTTGTCCCTCCCGAACCTCTGGGGTTGGAACCTGCGCCCTTCCCTCGCGTCTCGGGAAGTCCAGCCCTGGGTCAGTGTGCCCCGGAAAGCCACTCACAGCGCGCGGATGAGGCTGCGGGGTGCGAGTTCAAAGCAAACTTTGCCAGCGCCGCCCGAAGCGCAGCTCCCAGGGCCCGTCGGGGGCGCACTGTGCCCAGAAGGCAGCCTGCAGCCCGTCCCCCGGGACCCGCGCCCGTCCCCCGGCTGCCCTCAGCCTCACCTCGCTCCCGCCGCCCGCCACCAGGAGCGGACCCGCTCCGGGCCGGCTCGGGGCAGCCCGGCAGCCCGCACACAAGCACATGCGCGCCACCGAGCGCGCGGCCCGCATTCAAGAGCGCGCCCCCAACGCGCGTCCGCCCTCCCTCCCTCGCTCGTGCACGGCAGCCCGGACGCTACCGGGATCCGCGCGGGAGCGCGAGATGCAGGCGCATTGTTTCCCGGCTGCCTTATATCTCGCGCGCCCGGGGCTCTGGGGCCAGGGGCGGGCCCTACGGGACAAGACCCGCCCCGGACCCGCCCCCTCCTGGCAGCCGACAGGTGGGGACGGTGGAGTCTCCGCCCCACCCCTGCTGGCTGCTCTCTCCCGCTCTATTCTAGTCCCTATACCCCTAAAATGAATTGCACACTGGGGAGCGCAGGGCTGGCGGCAAGCTGATGCAGCCTGGAGGTTGCCTGGTGGGGACGTGACTCTTTATCAAGGTCTGGAGGGTCCCAGCAGGCCGAATTAAAACCAGGCTCCTGGCCCACAGTGGATTGAGGACTAGGGCTACTCCCCGCCCCACCCTGCCCTACCCTGCGAGCCTACTTCCCTGGACTTGTTCAGGTGCGTCTGGCCTGCGGTGGGGTGAAGTGGGGAAGCAGCCGCACCTCCACCGCGCCACCTGGCGGCCCTCAGCTCTGAACTGGGGTTGGTCCCCGGCATCCGTTTCATCACCGGTTGGCTGGTTTCTATAGCTAGGTGTTCCAAACCTGGACCGCAGCGAAGTGAGATGGCGAAGATTCTGGACTTTGGAACCTGAAACTTAACTTTTTCTGAGCCTGTTTCATCTATAAAACGAAGGGATGTAATACCTCACAGGATTGTTGTGAGGATTTAAGAAGATGGAGTATGTAGGGAAGAGAGGTAGGCCAGGTGGAGAGGCCAGAGGAACCGACTGAGCCTCTGCTGCGGTTGGTGAGGAGGAGAATTTTTCCGTGGGGCCAGGCCAGGCCGGAGACGCTCCTCCCTCACATCACACACAAAACGCTCTGTAGGAACTGCAATAGTAGAAGAAAGAATGGGGATTTGGAATCTGGAAACTTTGTTCAAGCCCTTGCTTTGCTGCTTGCTAGCTGTAGAGCCAAGACATTTGAAGCCTCTGTTTGCTTACCTATAAAATGGGGACATTGCTTGCAGCTGCATCTCTGGCCAAGATGATGGACCATATAAGCCCTTTATGTCATCTGTCATACAGACTACCTTTGGTAGAAGAGGAAAAGCTAAATTGTACAGTGATTTTATTTAGGCAAAGGAAAGTAACTTGGGATAGCTACCAATTCATCTAGAATTCTTTACCTGGCATTCAAGGCCTGGTCCCTGTCTATAAGCAGCAGCCTGATTGTCTGCTGTCTGTCTTTTTCCCTCCCACCCCTGTGGTCTAAGAACACCTACCCCTCACCGTTGGCATCCCAACAGAGGGAAGGGAGAAGTGCAAGCAGTTCAGTGCTGTTGGAGCATGGGCCACAAGGTGTGAGTTGATATATGGGTTGGGGAAAAAGGCAGGGAAGGTGACACCCTCCATTTTGGATACGTTGGGTCTAAGGTGTATGTAGGACATCTTTGAAAGCAGCAACTAGCTCTTACTAGCTCTTACTAGCTTTGTAACCTCAGTACCTTCTGGCAGGTATGTGTGCACGTAATGAGTCATTCAGTCACACAGATTTTACTGAGACAGTCTGTGTGCCCTGCTTTGTGTGAACAGAAGACACAGATCAGAAAGGTTTCAGCTCTGATTGCAGTTCTTGAGGCAGACGCATTGGAACTGCCTTTTGGGGACTTGTTATCTGGTCCATAGATGTTTGGAATTGTTGCTGTACCAGTCAGAGTTCTTGGTGACAAATGGTAGAAACCAGCCCTAGATAAATTTAAAGAGAAAATCACTTTACTGGAAAGATTTGGGGTTTAGAATCTAAGGGAAGCTGGGAACCTATGCTTGGAAAATGGGTGTTCTTTATCTAGGTGAGTCCTTACTTTACAGCTCCTCCTCATGGTTCATTGTAGGTGATATCTGGGGAGGGACAACTAGGAGGTGATCCCACCTCAAGAACTTGCATAAGATAAGTTGTCTTCTGAGAGTTAGGCTGTTCCTTCACTTCGCACACTTTGTTTAATGTTAGTCTCCTCAACAGACTGTAAGCTCAACGAGGGCAGGAACAAATATCAGTCTTGTAGACCACTGTAGCTCCAGGGCTCAGAACAGAGCCCGCCACATCATGGGTGCTTTGTAAATGTATTGCCTGTTTGACTAGACACAAGCCTTTAATGCTTTAAAATAGAGATAAATGTCACCTTAACTGATGGAGACAGAAGGTCCATGCTAGCATTGTCTGGGGGAAAAGATGCTGGTCCCGGAACAAGGGAGATGGCGGCATCATTCTCTGAAACCATCCAGTTCAACTCCCACTTCAGTCATGCCCTGGATCACTAAGCAATCCACTGAAAACCACTCTGTTCCCATTGTAGATCTGCCCTCAGGGAGAGAATGCACTCATCAGCGAACAAGAAGATCCGGTCTGCTTCAAAGCCTTGCTTCCCTTTATAAATTAATGAATTGGCATCTGATTTGAAATATCAGTCTCATGAGCCTGGTTAATGTGTGTCTGTTCCATAGAGATGCTGCCGCTTTTAGGGCTAACTGCTCTGATTTCTGCGGAGATGTCTGGACCCAGGATGGCGATGAATTCACCAAGGTAACAAATGCTACGCTAGGGACACTCAGTTTTTCTACAATTTTTAATTTCCTTTACTTTTCTTAAAATATGTTTTTTAATCAAAGTAATACATGTACATAGCTTTTAAAAATCAACTAAATGTATGACAAGGTTTAAAAAAAAAAAAGGCAACCTTCTGCCCTTCTCTCACAATCCCTGATTTCCATTCCCCAAAGGCAACTACACTTTTAGCTGGTGTCTGTCTCTAATATTTACTTCCATATTTTGACCAATTCAGATAATCTACTTTTCCTGATTGTTAAATTCTTATTGACATTTTAAAATGTGAGGAGAAGGGCCGGCCCAGTGGCGTGATGGTTAAGAACTGGCTTGGGATGCCAGAGGGCCCCGATTCGGATCCCACATATGAGGGCCAGTGACACTGCCCTCCACAGCTAAGATGCTGAACAACAGCTCAATCTCCAGAGAGTCACCGGCGATGGCGTAGGCTGCAGCCCCTGCTGCAGTGGGTTGCCATGGGCTACCGTGTGTAGCCAGCAGCCAGCGTGAGTGGCCAGCAGCCGCAGTGAGCGGCCGTCCAGAAGCCGGCGACTGATCTGCCTCACCCGGGAAGAGTGCAATGATGGTGCCAACTTGGGCCAGTGAAGCAACGTCCTCCACAACTAGACTGAAGAACAAAATGATAGCAACTTGTCTGTTCCCCTTTCCCAATTCCCCAGGACTGTTCCCATCCCCCTAATTCCCCAATAAAAATCTTTAAAAAAAAAAAAGTGAGAAGATGTAGCTCTTATATTTCTCTTCTTACCTCCACATATTTGGTCTTCCTTTATTTTTCCAGTAGAATTATAATTCAATTAAAAAATAAATATTCAATATTTATAGTATTTTGACTATATGATTATGGAGTAGTCTAATTACATTTCCTTTCTTATACAATTTTTTTGAAAGTTAAATTGTCTCTCTTTTTTTTTTTTTTTTGCTTAGATTTCTATGCATACACTGTGAATTTAATCCTACATATTCCCACTAGAGCTACAAAGCTCACGTCATATGGTCAAATGTGTCAGGTCATCATTCAGTTCCATTATTTTCTTGGAAACATCCCTTCTTGGAGCCCTTTGTCTTTCTGTTCCAATTTGAACTTACTGATCTCTAGACCTGCTCCACAATTGTCATTCTGCAACTTCCCTCCACCACCATCCCAGAAATTCCCTCTGCTTCTCTCCTGTGTTGGCTCCCCTGTTCTCTGGGGCTCATTTCTTCTTTCTTGATTTACTTCCTCCCATCAAAGAAGAACATCTTCCATCAGCTGCCTGAGAAAGGGTACTTGAGAAGTAAAATTCAGAGAACTTGCATTTCTGAAATTCTCTTTATTATACCGACACCTTTGGTTGCTAGTTTGACTGGGTGTAGAATACTAGATTAGAAATAATTTTCCCTCGGGGCCGGCCTAGTGGCTCAGTTGGTTAAGAATTCGCTCAAGAGTGTGAGCTCTGAGCAACAGGGTTGCCGGTTCAATTCCCAGCCCCAGCTGAGCTGCCAACAGGTGGCAGGATGGCTCAGCTAAAAAAAAGAAAGAAAGAATTTTCCCTTAGAATTTTAAAGATACTGCTTTCCTGTTGCTTAGCGTTGTTATTGAGAAGATTGATATCAGGGGCCAGCCGAGTGGCGCATTGGTTAAGAACTGGCTTGGGATGCCATAGGGCCCTGGTTCGGATCCCACACACGAGGGCCAGTGACACTGCCCTCTACAGCTAAGATGCTGAACAACAGCTCAACCTGGAGCTGGGTTGCGGTGAGCTGCAGGCAACGTCGTAAGCTGCAGCCCCTGCTGCAGTGGGATGCCATGGGCTACTCTGTGTAGCCAGCAGCCAGCGAGAGCGGCCCTCAAGCCAGTGAGAGCGGCCCTCAAGCCACCGTGAGCGGCCGTCCAGAAGCCAGGGACTGATCTGCCTCGCCTGGGAAGAGCGTAATGATGGTGCCAACTTGGGCTAGTGAAGCAACGTCCTCCACAACTAGACTGAAGAACAAAAGGACAGCAACTTGTCTGTTCCCCTT